TTCACGAGCATATCTGGGCACTTAAGCGAGATTTAGAATCTTTCGCTCTTGACACGCGAATTATAGAGCGGCTTTCAGTGGCTGAGAGGAATACTTCTATCATCTCTTTAAAAAGCCCTTCAAGAGCATATCTGGGCACTTAGGCGAGATTTATAATCTTTCGCTCTTGACACAGGAATTGTACAGTGACTTTCGGCTGCTAGGAATACTTTTGGCATCTTTTTAAGCAGCGCTTTACGACCATATCTGACGAATTGTAGAGTGGTCTTCAGCGGTTGGCAGGAATACTTCTGCCATCTCTTTAAAAAGGTCCTTATTGCCTGTTCATGATTGCTATTTTTTTTCTGCAGCCCATCTTTCATCATCCGCTGCCAATTCTTCATTCATCATTACATTCTTTGCGCGCCATAAGCAGGCGCCCTGTTTGCTACTATTGAAAGGCGAAAATAGGGTGTTTTAAATTCCAAGTTATAGAAGCATTTCGAAAATTTTGTAAAAAACAACTTAAATTTGCACAACACTTTAATTAGCAACTTCGTAGATATCTGATATTCGAGACGAATATTTATCACAAGTATTTATTGTATTTAATGCAAGTGGTCTGTGACTAAAATGAATTATTATAAATGCATTCTTATTAATAATAATGACTTTGAAACTTATGGACGGTACGATTACGTTATTAGACTGCCTTTAATCTGGCGTGATTTTTGAAATCTCATATGCAAATGCAAAGCAATTGAATATAAATTAAGGCGCCCAATAAAGCTAAATATTTACAAAGATCTCCAAAAATTTATATTAATACGAGATTAAGAAAAATTTTTTGACAATATCAATATATAAAGAATTGACCCAAATTCGATCAAAATTTTTCAACTTTACCAACTTGATAAGGCGGCATGCTATTACTCAGCTACTTTTATTAAGGGGTTCTGAGAATTGTAAGTTTTTCTATGATCATATGAAGACTTTACAAATAAACCATTATATGAGGACTGACCGTAAAAATAGTCGGATGCAATAAATTTCCAAAAAGTTCATCCTTAAGCTAAAGCATGCTAGCATGCCAAAATGTATACCAAAATATTTTAAAAATTGCTGCCGGCATAGATGAATAGTTAAGCAATCCCATACATGGATTCAATTTACTTCAGTTATTTGCGGGAGGTGTGTGGTTGTAGCAATAGTGAATACTTGCTCGATAAAGCATTCGCATGAGTAGCCGAGTAGATAAGAATCGGACTACCGAACAAGTCGATGTTCGCGTTACGGTTTAACGATTGTGCACTCAACCACTAGACTACGGCCGCTTCCCTATTGCTTTCTCTTAGTTCACCTCTTTCCGGACGACACCGCCCTAGATGAGTAGAAAACATCCACTGAATGCTTGGCTATATAATAAAAAAAAAAAAATGAAGCAATATGACTTGCTGATGGAGTATATATCTTCCACTTCTTATTTCACCGCGTCTTGTTGACCATTACCCTGTTGCACGTATTGGGTAAATCCCCTCATTGTCATATGAACACATAGGAGAAATATAGATTGACCACAAAAGTACATCGACGAATATCAGACGGACGGATAAGCCTGAATTGGTTCGGAAAATTATTCGCTTGTTACGGTATAATAAAAGATGAGCCTTCTATATGTTACAGGCATGAGGACAAACTTAATACATTCGATGCTTAAATCGTAATATATTTTAGCTTCAATTACATGTGCTTAACATTAAAATTATTTATATTTGATTTAAATAGATTTGTCTTATCTTTTATTACAGTTTAAATTGCTTTAAACTATGTCCACCAGTCCGAAACCAGTCAAAAAAGTCCCCATTCATTTACAGGTACAGTAGATTTTTACTTTTTCGAATAGCAAATATATATTTGAATCATCTTCTCTATCTATCGTCTTCTTTTAACGGTATAGAGCGCTCAGAACCGTGTCTATATAAAGAATGGTCAAATTGTAAATCATGATAAAACATTTATGGCCGATGTTTACATCGAAGATGGCACTATCAAGTAAGTACATTTATATTAAGAATGAATTGCTTAAATCGTTCTCATTTTTCTATATACATAGATTTGTTGGTTCCGCTTCGGAAATTGTCGTGCCGGGTGGTGTACGCGTTATCGATGCTACCGGGAAACTAATAATACCGGGTGGTATTGATCCTCATACACATTTTCAATTACGTTTTGGTAATGCGGTCTCGGTCGATGACTTTTATCATGGTACTAAAGCGGCAATTGCTGGCGGTACCACCACAATTAGTAAGTTATTTACTGTTATATTATCCTTTCACTCTAAAAGCCTTAACGATGCAATTATCTCTTGTAGTTGACTTTGTTTTACCTAATAAAGGTGAATCATTGGTCGAAGCTTATGATAAATGGCGTGAGTGGGCCGATCCGAAAGTATGTTGTGATTATGCTCTGCATGTAGGTATTACCTGGTGGTCGAATTCGGTATCACAAGAAATGAAAATCATGTGTGACGAACTTGGTGTGAATTCTTTCAAAATGTTTATGGCCTATAAAGGTCTTTATCAGCTTAATGATTCTGAACTATTGGATGTGTTTGAACGTATTAGAGCACTGGGAGCTATCGCTCAGGTAATTACAAATATAAACTCGATTGTTTCATGAGAGGCTATTAATTGATTTTATTATCATTCATTTAGATTCATGCTGAGAATGGTGATGTTATTGCGAAAAATGTTAGTAAACTTCTGGCAGCTAATATTACGGGTCCAGAAGGTCATGAACTTTCCCGACCCGAAGAAGTTGAGGCGGAAGCTGTAAATCGTGCCTGCATTCTGGCCCATCAGGTAAAATTATTAAAAATTTCAAATAATAGATAAAAGGTGAACTATGGGGTTTTTTTTGCTAAGCAGTACTTATACCATTTTGCCTATGTATTGGTTATTACATTCTGTAAATAGAAGTGTTTAGTTTTTTTTATTTATTTATTTATTTTTGTTTTCCATTTTTCATTTATTTATTTATTTATTTATTCTTTTTTTTTTTTGTTTTATTTACCCAAACACTGTAAATACACTTGTACCCACACACTGAATGAACACTGAAATAAAATACTTTATACGAATATATTTGAAAAAATATATGTATGAAAAATACGTTTTATGAAAGATGGATTGTCCATTGTATGTGGTGCATGTAATGAGCAAATCGGCTGGCGATGAAATTGCTCGAGCTCGTACCCGATATAATAAACGAGGTATTTATGGTGAAACTTTGGCAGCTGCACTGGGCACCGATGGTTCCCATTATGGTCACACATGTTTTCAGCATGCAGCCGCACATGTACTCAGTCCACCCTTACGTCCTGATCCGACAACACCAGAATATTTAACGAAATTATTAGCGAAGTAAGCAAACTGAATAAGAAAACTTCACTTAGATATGATGATGTCGTTACTAACTAACTCTATATGTTATATGGTTTGAAGGAAACTCAATCAATCATTTTCGTGTTCTTTGCTTGCATAACCTTATTTTCTTAATTTCTTTTTTTTGTATTTTTTTTTTATTTTGTTTTATACATTTGCTTACTAACTTAACTTATTAACAATTTGTTCGTTTCTGTCGCTGTGTCTCATGTTGCTTCAATTAACTTCCCCATCTTCAGATGAAATCACCTCTTTATGTAACTCGTGTCACTTCCAAGTTATCAGCTGAAATTATGGGCCGTGCAAGGCGGAGCGGTTATTGTGTGTTTGGTGAAACCTTGGTTAGTTCGTTGGGTCGCGCTATGAGTGGCTTACAAAAACAATATCATTTGTATTGTATCACAAGTCCACCCATACGTGAATCTGCCGAAACGCCAAGGCAGCTAATGAAGTCGTTGGCTTAGTAAGTACTTTGTCTATGTTTTCTTTTCATTTAATTACATTGCATGGACTTTGTGTTGAATTTTTTTTCCGCCATGAAATTAATAAATATGTATGTATATACGGAGAGAAGAGCTAATATTGTCTCACTTCTTACTTCTTTCTTCTAATTCCCTTAGCGATGATCTTCAGACTACGGGCAGCGATAATTGCACTTTTAATAAAGAGCAAAAGGAATTGGGTAAAGGGAACTTTACAAAAATACCGAATGGTGTGAACGGTGTTGAAGATCGTATGTCGATTGTGTGGGAGAAAGGCGTACACGCTGGCCTTTTAGATCCATGCCGTTTCGTAGCGGTTACCAGTACCAATGCCGCTAAGATCTTTAATCTTTACCCTCAGAAGGGTTGCATTGCAGTCGGTTCCGATGCCGACGTTGTCATTTGGAATCCTCATGCTACACGCACTATTTCCAAAGATACTCATCATCATAATTGCGATTTTAATATCTTTGAAGGCATGGTATGTCACGGCGTCCCGGAACTTGTTTTGGTTCGTGGTCGCATTTGTGTAGAAAATGATAGTATTCGTGTGGCTGAAGGATTTGGGCGTTTTCTTAATACGCCAGTACGTCCACCTTATGTCTACGATGTGCTTGAGGGCAAAATTCCAGCGGAAATCCAAGCAGAACGTAATGGTGCCGAGGAACAATTGAATGGGAATATGAAAAAAATGAATTTATCTGCTCTGCAAATTGAAATACCGCAACAAGAAGGGGGCATTTTTCCAGGAAAGGTGCCAGGTGGCGATTTCATGACAATAACGCCTACGCAGAAAGGCCACGTGGAAGGTTCACGGAACATGCAAGAGTCAACCTTTTCCGTTAGCGGTAACTAAATAACAATTACATTACTTTATAGACATTCCATGATCATATGGATTATTTTTATGCGTTTTAGAGGAACTTGATAAGTCGTGTGCTCGTTCATGCATACGTGTCAGAAATCCACCTGGTGGTAAATCAACCGGATTCTGGTAAAAAAGGATCAAAAAACTCTCACAACCATTTCGCACAACGTGATCGATGAATTTTCGAATTATCGTCACTCAAAGAAGCTCACACTGGCCTATATGACCAATTAGATGACAATATTGGTATCATTTATAATTAGGCTTGCGCGCATGTCTATTGATTAGGAACATTTGAAAATCAATCGATTTGTCTTCATCTTCTTTTTTTTATACACACAAACACCATACACACCGTACATTATATTACTTATATATATATAGACGATAGTTATTTAATAGATATTTGCTATTTACCAAAATTTTTTTAAAAAACGAAAAAACAACAACAACAACAACAGCATATGATACGTGTTCAGATATAAATAAATTGTTAAGAAACGCGAATAAATTGCATCTTGTTATATTTTTATTTTTATATAATTTATAGTAAAATATTAATGATATTTTCTCATGTCTCGTTTTACTTGATTCATAAATTAATATACAAATCTCTTAATTAAATAATGAATTATTTATTGCAAGTGTCTTCATCGAATGGTGATTTTTGTGCTTTATACAAAATGAATTTGTTTTTCTATTAGTGCTTCAGTTTTACAAACATTCTCTTATATACTTATATACATATATTCAATATTTTTTTTTTTTTTTTTTTTTTTTTGTCATCAAAAATATAATTTATATTTAAATGATATATATTCATTTATATATATATATATATATATATATATATATATATTTATTTATTTACACATTATTGTCTACAAAAACAATAAAAGTTTCGTACATACGCATGATACACGTGTGCGAGCCAGTACGTACGAAGAAATAATAAAATTCAAACCAAATATTAAAAAAAAAAAAAAAAAAATTATATTTATTTTAATCGCTTTATTCGCCATTTAAGAAATATGGATGTTAATTTCCCATTCCCAATTCATCTCAACTAGTTCGTTCGCGACACCTTTGAGTTGTACGGTTAACCCTGATGGCATAAACACATAATAATGTAAAACAGCCAAGGGCAACCGCAGGTCCGTTGCTTTTTGAATGTTAAATAATTCAATTTACTCGCATCTTGACACAAATGGCGCGTATCTGTCTTCATGACCTGCTCTGCCGTGAAACTATCAAATATGAAATGTGTTTAATTATTTTTTTTTTTGATTCCTTAGGCCATAAATTGAACGACTTAAAGAGAAGGAAAATTGATAAAGAATGCATTTTTAATAATAATTGGACTTTGTTCCGGCCTCATTCGTGCTATTAGCATGAGAATCTGCACAAAGTGATGAAAAACGTGTCCACGCTTGATGTACAATATTAACATGAGTTATAATCAACACAGCTGAGGTTGAGGCCAGCAACCAACGGATAATGCCCGAATTAATATCTGAGGAATAACTTTTTATGTAGAGAAAAAACCTTTACTCTTCTGAGCACATATTGAGCCACTGTTGTCTGCGTGTAGCAACCATAAAAAAAAAACATTGCCAACGGTAAAGCATACATGTTTATACCCTACAAGACTTGCGGTGAAAGTTAGGTTTGTGCAAATGTAAGCAACACCCCGAAGGATTTGAGATAGAGAGAGAGGAAATGACTTTGAAACGATCAAGGCATGTCTGCCCATCTGTCTGCCTCTGTTTTTTTCTGTTCAGTCCGCAATTTTCGAGATATTTTGTTGAATTTGGTATACCGACATGTTTTGGCCTAAGGATGACAGCTATTGAAAGGCTTGGATCGACCCCTTCCCATTAAAACGCCGTATTGTGAAAAGGGTATAAATGAATAACTGCAGGGTGCTGTAGGGTATTTAATGGTGAGCCGTGACCCGCTATAGCGTTTTTACTTGTTATTATTGTTATCATAATTTATTTAGACCAATGGAAGGCTAAGAAAGTAGCATGGATATTAGCAATCAAGACTATCGGCTCTTCTTCTTTTAAAAGGTAAACTAATTGGTTTAAGAAAAGTAGACATATTAGTGCTTAAGTTTGTGCGGACGTATGTAACATATATCTGATATGTGTCCATAGATTCTTTTATTCAACCTACAAATCGCAATTTTTGACACTTTTGGTACATGGAACGGGTACTTCCCATATAAAGTCTTTTTTTTAAAAAGGTATTGTACGAAAAAATTTCCAATTTTCTAAATGTCTAGACAAAAATTGCTGAATAATACGTATTTCGGCGAGTTAAATTCATGTGACAAATTGTGATCAGCGTATATTAAGCTAATACGGATATGGAAAATCACTTTCTGAATGGATTTAAGTTTGTCTGCTTGTTCGTCCATGTGACGCCTGCTCACGAATTTTAATGCTTAAAGTACAGTTTAAAGGACACAAATTTTCAAAATATTTTTATTGGTATACTCTAGCCCTGAGAAAATATATTGCGTGTTTTATAACTACTCCCTACATACCCCAAAAAATGTGGATATAAAAAAATTTGATATTTGTAATATTTTTCGACACAAATCTATAAATGCTAAATTGTTGTGAAAAATTTGAATCGGATGGATCTATTGTTTTCCTCGCCTGATCGAAAGCAGGCCTCTATGGCAAAGAGATGAACGATATCTGGCATAAAAGTTAATTGCATCAGCTTTGGATTGCATAGATCTATTTTTCGATAAGATAAACCTTTATACGGAAACAAGGTATTTTCTTTAGTACTTTGCGAAAAAAAGGGACGAAGGTCAACAAATTCTTTGACAGGAAAATAAAATTTGCTCTCATGCTTCCATAAAAACGAAGCCTTTCACACGAAATAACGGAATCACTTTTGACTTTTGTGAAGAGAATGAATCAAGAGTAGCACTAGACGCTGCTCTGTAGGGTATTTAATAATCGCACTTGGACGACTATAATGTTTCTCCACTAGAAGAGACTCCGTATAGTTACTAATGGTAAGGTGCGAAAAGTTGGCCACAGAACTTAAGTTCTTTTTGAATGTTTATCACAATTCCCGGCCGCTGTTGTAATGATACTAACCGGTTTTTTCGAAAGTAATCGGCTAACTTGTCAACATGACTAAAACATCGCTATTTTCATCAGCAAATTGATTTTTAATCCGCTACTCAATGTCCCTCTGAAGTGGCAACTCTTAAAGTTTTTTGTGTATAAGCATAAGTGACTTCTCAATCAATCTATTAGAAATAAATTTTTGCGTACAAGAGCACCATACATTGAGTGTGATGTATATTGAGAGCCTTAAAGATCTTAAAGTGTATAAAGGTGTTATAGTCTCTTCCTATTCGGATGCCATTTGAAGGCAATCTGTTCTTAAGTATCTGTGCCCATAATTATGAAAGTCGTCTAAGCTAAAATTAAAAAAAAAAAGAGTTTATCAGTTATTTCACGCTACATTATTTTAAATTAAATTAATTCAATGTAATTTTTACGATATCGTCACAACAAACATGCAAACATGCAGTAATAGGGAAGAGAAATTCCATCTTAGACAAAGTCACGAATTACATTTGCAAAGTGCCGATTCAGCCGGGAATTGCGTTGAGGAGGATCAGAAAAAAGCCAAAGAGCAGCCTGAGAAATATAATGACTTCCCGTTTGATTGATTTTAAGAAGTCGTACTGAGAAGAAAGCCTAAAATCATGCAAATGGGTCAGTTTATTGGTTCTAATAAAAATCATAGTGTTTTACTGCTTTAGGTCATAGGATATTCATTTAATTTTGAAAAATGGTCTAAGTCAATTCAAGAAAAACATTTTTATATGAAATTCATATAAAATTTGATATTCATAATAAATTCCGATTAATCAAGACAAATAAAGTCCTAAATTAAAATATCGCATAATGGAAAAATAATTTTTTGAATTATTCAAATGTAATTCATTAAATATCCCGAAACAAGAACAACGAAACAATATATGACTTAGACAACTTTCATAATTATGAGCACAAGTATGGGCTTTATGAGCATTCTTAAGGATCTAACAGATATTCCTCTTCACTTTTAGCATCCAGAATAGGTGGCAGTCATAACAGGTACAAATCTCTCATGTCTCTTCTTACCGTATACACATATATATGCTGATGTAACATGTCCCGACTACGTTTAGAACGACATTTGGTACCAATCTCTTTGATTCACGCCTCTTCGTACAAGAGTCCATTATTCAGAAACCTCACGATCGCAAAAAAGATAATTGGGTTTGTTGAGTTTCAGCCTCGATCTCCCTACTTTAAAATATATTGATTTAGAAATGGCTCAAGGCAGATATATGAACTTTTAGAAGCTTTTCAAATCAAGTTCATTGATTGCTTTTTCTCTTTAAATGTTTCCTTCCTTTGTTATTCATTTCGCACGTATTACAAATTCAATTCAATTAATGATTATTGCATCCATTCGATGACGACATGTTTAATGGCATTCATTACTGCATCCGATCCGGTGTGTAATAGTCCGCAATAAGTCTTGAAAACAACGTTTTTCATAAATGAAAGCAAAATGCAAGCTGTTAGCTGAGCGGATTCATAACAGACTATCGGATCAAGACCACCATGAATTTGAAAAATCGGTACATTATCACTATTGAGTTTGGCTTCGGGAAATTGCTGATGTAATGGCAACCAAGACGAAGGGGTTACAATACCGGCGAAGGGTCTTGTGTATGTTTAACCCGAATACAAAGACAGTGCACCGCCCTGTGAGAAACCGCCCAATACAATACGTGTCGATGGTATCCCATGTTTGATCTCCTTATTAACCATGGCATGTATAGTTTTTGTTTAGACTTTTTTCATCTTCCGTTCCTGATATATCCAGTCTTTTGAAATCGAACCAGGATGGCACACGAAAACCACCATTTTTTGCAACGGGCTGAGAAGGTGCGTTAGGACAAACGATTTTCATATTTGGTAGTTGTATGCATTCGAATGCACTACTCCAACCGTGGTCACTATCGCCGAGACCATGGAGAAAAATGAGCGTTGACGTGTGATTGGATATTGGTTCAATTGCAAATTCAACTTCAACTGGTGGATTGGACATATTTGTATATTTTCTTAAAGGAATTTTTTCGTTTTTTTTATATACCTCTAGATGAGTAAGGTACGAATATCGCTTGCCGCGGAAAACGTAATAAATAAACTTAGTCGCAACCAAATGCTTTGCGAATGCAAATGAAAAACATAAAAATAAAAACAAATCAAAACAAAAATAAAAAATTCATGCTTAACTGTCAAATTGTCAAGATAACATTTCAAAGAAACAAATGCAAAAACCCTACACATAGCACATAGCGTAGATGACACTTGAATTCATGCCTAGTAAACGCAAATTATCAAATCTGATCCAAACCTTATTGGCAGGAATAGTAATTAAGAGTAAAGCATATTGCAGATAGGCACATATGAAAGAGGAACTGTTGTGTAAAAAATACACGTTTGGTGTATGAAAATACTAAGAGTTCTATTAAAAGGAATAGACATTGCTAGCTATATGTTTTTTCCACCTCTGTGTGTTTCGTAGGAAGTGAAGCGGGTAGCCCAGCTACGGATATTGCTTTGCTTTTCGATGTTGTTTAAGTGGTTCACTGAATTGGATTGACTTTTAGGACATGATTTATATGCTAATTGAGGATCTTTACGTTTTTCCTTTTAATTTTTTTTGCTTTCTTTGTCATACTTTACTTCTTTCTTATTCGACTAATTTGTCTTCTTTTCCTTTTGTTTGAATGTAGCTGTCGGCATTTTTTGAAACTTCTTTATTAAAACATGGCAAGGTATTAATGTTTACTTATTAAATTTATTAAAAAAAATAAAAATAAAAAAAAACAACAAGTAAGAAAATTATATTGGGTCGTAACCGAATCGGACTCATCACCGTTTTGCTAAAAAAGACGAAGAGGAAAGGGACTACATTTTCATGGTCTATAATATGGAAAATAAAAGGTTTTGTCGCACAACCATATGGGCGTTATAGGTATGTCCTTGAAAAAAGTTTAAGGCACTTACAAATTCTTTTGCAAATTTGTAGACGATATCTTCATTTTCGCTAACGAGAGAATGCACCACAAATACTGCACAGTTGCGCAGACAGATATATGGACAGACGGACATGTTGAGGTGACTTTCAAATTTGAAATTGACCAAGATTATATTTACTTTATAGGGTTTTTGAAGCTTGAAGGGTTTATGAACGAGCGACTTGAAAATGGAGGCATAAGGTACTGTGGAAAAAACTATTGATAGAAGTTTGTTCCAAGGGTGGGCAGTATGGTGAAAAAAGGACGAGCTGCGATAGTTTGTTGTGTGGTGTGCAGATAATTGCAGAATGGCTGGGCATGTGGGCTGAGAAAAGTGTGTAATCCTGCTAAAGAAATTTAACTGTTCAACAAATCTCTTTTACCTCCTTAGGAGGCCTGCCAAGAATGGGCCTGCACATGAGCATAACATAGAAAAAAAAGTTTCGGACATATAACACGCTTTGAATGTGATATAATATATAATAATAATATAATTGGCATGCAAATATGCCAAAGCTAATCTTCATCTTTAGAAGGCGTTGCTACTTATTTTACAATGCAGCGAATCATTTGTTGCTGACTCGCTAAACATTTAAGAAGAGAGAACAAGGCAGAGTTGCATTCATTCAAGGCTAATTAAAGGCTGCGCTACAGGTGACGAAAACAAAGAATAGAGTTTTCTCTGGCTTCACATTAGGAACGCCTCTTTGGGAACTTCCCGTTGGAGGAAGTCGCAACAAAACACGCGAGATGACTACGCTCAACTTTGCGGCTATACGTTGCTGCCTAAAAACATAAAGCTATTAAAATACCCTCAGTATTAACCGTGGAAGTGTGGAAATACTTGTACTCACAATATTATTCACCAATATGGCAGCTAGTGATTAGAAATCCCTTTCCTTAGCGACGTGATTCCGTTTGCGGTGGACTAAGTGAATCGTTATTTGCTTTAGTAAGGCATCAAAGTTTGTTAGGGCACTGGCGCAAACAGGCAATCACTTTAACTTGTGGTAATATTCCTCATTCCTTTTGTCTTCTCAAAGTACGAAGAAATTAATTGATTAGGTTAAGTGATTAGGTGATTCTAAAATTTATATAATTTTTTTCAAAGAAATTTTTCTCCTGAGTTCGTTCGCTAATTGTTTTTTCTGTCCCTGCAATGATATCGATCAATTTGTAGTGAAATTGAATACCTCACCAATATGTTGGGAATATTTCAAATCTTCATAAAATGTTGCAAATTGTATCAATTCTTTCAAGTGTTAAGAATTGGTATTAGAATCGTTTTTTATAAAGTTGCATTCAGCAATCATTTGCTGAACTACAAAAGAAGAACAAGACTCTTAAGAGGTGTAATCGTCTCATGTCTACGAGAACAACGTGAATCGCATAAAAGTTTGTTAAGACGACTTAAGGGAACGATCTAAAAACTAAGCGAAAGTAGTCCGATTCTCCTGCAAATATGTTCACCATAAAGCTAAACGTGCGAGTGCCTGTCGATAAGAGACATTGATTTAAAATCTGCCATATATATTTTCTACCGCTAAGGTTCACGGAGTGACCTAAGACGATGCTTATCAAACATTTTCCTAAAGCGAATATTTCCATTAAAGTTGGAGTGGAAAGATATCTAGAGATGCAATCTAAGCGTAGTCCGTTAATAGAAAAACTGAGAATTACAACCTCAATGGAATGCAAGTAGTTTCTAGGACCTGTTAAAATATCAAAGTATAATTAATTATTTGATTTGTTTTTTAAGTTAAATCCGTAATTCTCTATTTATTTACTTGACTTTATAGAAATACAATTAAATTAATTATTATCTTAGGCATTTTTGGAGGAACGCTTTGACGTCATTCATTTCTTGATCGGAACCAGAATGCATAAGTCCATGATAGGTGTGGAAAGTGACATTTTCCATAAACGATTCTAGGATTTTGGCTGTTAGCTGACCATAATTATAACGGACCACTGGATCAATATCGCCATGGGCTTGGAAAATCGGTATTGTGTTGCTATTGCGTTTCGCATTCGGGAATTTCTGATGTACCGGCAACCATGTGGACAAACCTATTATACCAGCCAATGGCTTTGTATAAGTTAAAGCTGCATATAAAGCCAATGCACCGCCTTGTGAGAAACCACCCAACACAATACGTGTTGATGGTACACCTTTACCGATCTCGTTATCAACTAACTCGTGTATAGTACTCGTTGCTGCTAGGAGGCTTTCCTCGTTCTCTGTTCCAGACATATCCAGTTGTTTTATGTCGAACCAGGACGGCATGCGGAAACCATTATTTAATGTAACCGGTTGAATAGGTGCATTAGGGCAAATAATTTTCATATCTGGTAGTTTTACACGTCCAAGCATCTCACACCAACCGTGTCCCGAATCTCCGAGACCATGCATAAAAATTAGGCTTGACGTGTTATTAACCGTCGTCCCTGTAGTTATTGCTGAATTGGACATATTTCTACCCAATATTCCTAAGAGAAAAAAAGCTTTAATTTCTTTTGCCAGAATCTCTTGCAAACGGAGTAAGGATAATACGACTACAGGAGCCGAGTGTTGCTTTGTTTTCGATTGACTGATTGTTCGTAGGGATTTTTGCACTTGTTCTTCTTCTTCAACTTTCATTAGCTTTCAATAAAGTTCTTCGCCTTTTTTTCTGTTTGTAAGTAGTTGTCGCTAATTTTTTGAATTTATCGGCTTACATTTTTTAGATTTATTTAGAATTTGTCAAAACTTTTTTCATTTTCGTGAATTGTAATTTTTTACAATTACGACTGCCATGAAAGCTCGTTAAAAGAAAAACTAAAAATTTTTAAGCGAATATATCAAATAGATAAGAACAATATCAGACATCATTTCCGAAAGATCTTCACTGTTTAAACAAAGTCTTAAAGATTATTTTCAAAACATATCGGTATGATTTGACATTTTATATTAATATATTATTAATGTTTTTATTCGACAGAATATGGTATAAAATCCAAATGACTTTTCAACTTCTTAAATCCTTCGATTGAAACTGTAAAACCGACGATATTGCTAAAGGTCTTTCTCTAGCGACACTTGAAAACCCACCGTACTACTAATCCACACAAGTCATGCACTCGTCTCGACCAACTGTGCAGTCTTTTTTTTTTTTTGGAGAAAATTGAATTATCAATGAAGTTTTTTAGCACAGTGTTGTATTGGAAATATCCTACGTGTGTTAATAGCAATATATTAGATTGTTCGGAAGGTAATTTGTTTCTTGTTTTTTATGAAAATGAAAGACGGTTTTCTTATAGTACGTAAATATTTTATCATAGACTATCGATTTCGATAAATTTAATCATCCAGCCATGGGCCAGTTTGCATCAAATAATGCCTTTAATATGTTTTTTCAACAGCTTGAACTGGCCTTCGGAAACGTGGTGCGTCTTCAATGTCAAAAATTTCAAAATTCGTCATACACATCGGACAATTTCTTTCTTGCTTGAACAGCATTATTAATTTTTTTTGATATAAAAAAGGAAAATGTGCCTAAAGCGATGCATTTCACTTTCCACATATGAAAGGGCACTAATTAAAAATTACTGCATGGAATTAACCGAATTTTTTCACAAGCAAGTCGTACTATATCGTCTGTCGAAGTGTACGATCTACCGGAAGGTTCTGTCCGTTTCTATGATAACAATTTTCGACACGTAAGCACATCTTTATTTGGCGCACGTTCGACTCTTCATTTTTATCGTTTAATATGTACACACTGAGGCGGGAAATTAACTAAAACGAAGATGATTCGTGTTAGTATTAAAAGTGAGATGGGATCGTGTACGCAGGGCTACTCAAAAAGTTCAGTCACACCACTACATTTCGTACGAATTTCAACAAGGAAGAAAGGCTACAAAAGCAGGTAGAAATTTATTGAAAGTATTTGGTGAAAGTACAGTTTCTGATAGGGTATGCAGAAGATGATTCAAAAAATTTGAAACAAGTGATTTAGCTCTCTTTGATAAGCCACGTTTTGGGCAGAGACCTGTGATCGACGACGGTACTGTTAAGATCATGTTAGACCAAAATCGATTTTGACCACATCGGAGATTACGAAAAAGCTTGGATCAGCTCACCGTTTTGGAACAGGCTGCCGTTTTATTCTGGAAACAGGCAGAACTTTCCGGTAGAGCTAATATATAATGATAATGCGGCTCAAGTGTCAAGTGCTGTTATAAATGCAGATTAGTGCAAATAAATGTAAAGAAGAAAAAAGCAAATAAATAAGCAAAACAATAATAAAAATGAATTATTCTTGTCTAAGTATTTGTAAGGATGTCCCATAAGTTTTTTGTCCGCCACGCTGTGTATGACCTTGAGACGGTTATATTTGCAAAACATGGAGGCTTATCTATTGTTCCTTTATGGCATCGATTTCTGTCCTCGCACAACTCTTTCAAAGTATATTTCGTTGGTGACGAAGTCTCTTTTAAAATTTTTTTCTACCCTGTTCAGTAGGCGGCATGTTAATCCCCATTGCTTTAAGAAAGCTATATAGTGTGCGTGATATAGTAGATGCCACTAACATTTCCAGGACAGCGATACATAACCATTTAATCAAGATGGGATAGGTCATATATTGATCCCCCCTTACTCCCACCAAAAAAAAAAGGAATAAACTTATTGGACACCCCAATATATAAACTTAAGCCAGTAGGTACATAAAGCCACTTAAAAATCTGCCTTCACTATGAGAAAACAAGTAAGAACATTACAGTCGGAGAACGCAGACGATTACAAACCCTACACCACTTCACCTTGTAATAATACGCCAAAAAGTACCCCTTACTTTTATGCAAAGGTACAATTTTTATGAAAGCCCGCATATTGAAAAGTAAAATCTTCTGTCCAAATCAAAGTTTGCGTTTCATGACAGCGCCTATATATGTTCAAGTCCAAAAGAATTAGACCTACATGCTCCAAATTTGGTAAGGTAGATTTCTTTGTCACTTTACTATTGCGAGCTAATTTTCACCATGAAATATTGGAAATACGATCTTTGTCGCTCCAATTTTCGTAGGAGCGGTACAAAAAATTGCCCGCCGGTGCAAAATTTTTAGATATAGACATGGAATGGCGGAATGCTACTACTTAGTCACTTTCGCCTGAAATTGTGAGAATTGTGTTTTTTGTGTGGAAATTGCGACCTACACAAATTTACTTGCGTATTTGTAAAAATTTACATGGACAGACATCATTCGGATGGACGGACAGGCTTAGATCAATTCAGATTATGATTCTGAATAGATCGATATAATAAAAGATGGGTCTATCTTAAGCCCTTTTGGGTGTTACATACTACCGCATTAACCTAACATGTCCTGTACCACAAGTGCTCGAGAGTGTAAATATTGCACTTTTGATTCCAATGCACTGGATTGAGATGGCTAGTATGAAAGCCTGTAATTTTCTTATGTATGTATTATCAAACACAGGCTTGCCTCGCTTAACAGGGTAATTGTCAAGCACGGATTCGATACAACACGGCGCCAAAGTTGCGATAATTGTAACACACTTTAGATATAAAACCATTTCAAAAACCTGAATATAAATTTTTTTTCAACTGATCTTTATTTTATCGTTAATAAGAAAACTTTTAACCAACCTTAAAAAAACCAACAAATAAGAAAATTGTATTCTTTCGCGACAAAAGAGACAAAACAAAGTAAATGAATTAAGATTGAGTGTAGTGTATGTGTTGTGCTTTACAAGATTGAGTGTAGTGTATGTGTTGTGCTTTACAAGATTGAGTGTAGTGTATGTGTTGTGCTTTATGCATTTTATTATGCAAGCAAAAAACACGGAAAGCAAAAGATTTCACGATTTCTGCTATATAGGCGTGTGGGCGTGTCTTTTGATCGATCTGAGTTATTTTAAAATTTTTTTTCGCAATATTGTACCTGATATCTTCTTGTTCACTAAAGAGAAATGATCATCACCCTTACTAAACAGCTGAGCAATCGGACAGACGGACAGGCAAGCATGCTTAGGTGCCGTCCCGACTTGTAATTGATCAAGAATATATACATTTTATGGGCTTTTTGAAGCTTGCTTCTGCGCGTTACAAAAATTTTGAAAAAAATTAAATTTTGATGCTAAAATATGTGGATAGGCGTGGCCGATTTTCTTCATTCTTGTACAGGTATTACGGTATTGCCCATAGAATGTACTTTTAAATTTTTGCAAATTTTTCTCCTATAGTTTATGAGTAATAAGCAAAAAACGAATTGTTTATTCTATTCTCTGCTGATGTGGTTCTGTGAGCGTGTCCTTCGACCGTTTCGACCTATTTTCAATGCCAACATCACAACAGGTATGACGAACAGACGGATAATTAGGCAGATGAACATGTTTAAATCGATTTAGAATTTGATGCAGTTATACGCATTTACTATTATTTTAATTATTGTTTCATAAAATATTTCTATTGTTATAATTCTCATTCGGTTTATAAATTTTATGATATATAATGCAATGCTTCGGAGCTATACAATCACTCTGGCTTCTCTTCAGTTGTCGAATAAATCTTTCGCCTTTTACTAAAGATTTCCGTGGAGGGGAGCACTCTAATGAGTCTATAAGCAATTTTTTTCCGGGCTTGACCTTTTAGGTTGGGCCATATGAGATAAATGAGAATTATTTTTATATATTACATTTAGCGAAGCAAATAATTTGCTTGTGTTAGAAGTAGAAACTTTTTTTTATTTAAAACCCAAGGGTAAGAAGAGATTATTATTTATATATTCAAAACGAACGAGTGAAAGAAGAATTCAGGGAACCGAGCACATAATTTTTGTTAATTGCTATAGGTCAAGTTCTTATCCATCTTATCGCTCTGCGCTAATGTCTGTCGTAAACATTTGCATTATTCACAAGAATGAAAAAACATCCCTTACCAAAACCAAAAGAATTTGAAAATGATCAAAGGACGGGTGCGCTTGCCAACAAAAACTGTAAACGCTTTCCGTCTTTTTTGCTTGATACTAAGGCAACACCACACATCCATCACATATAAAATTTCTAGTTTTATTGTGAAAGTAAAATAAAGTCAGCCGCGACCAACCAATATTATAAGAGTGTGAAATTTAGTTCTTTTCCTTTTAATTTAGGATCACTACAATAGGAGGAATATAAAATTCCTTCATGAACGGATATATTATTATTAATTTCGCCAGAGAAATAAATTCTAAAAATTCTTAAAAACACTAGTATCTTTTATTAAAAACTCTACCGCACTTGAGATTCGAACCCGCGACCATTGACTTGCTAGTCGAGAAGGGATATAACTTTCTTACTTGTTACTATATATACTTCATCGTAATGTGGAATTTCATTTATTTTTAGTTTTTTTTTTATAAACTTTAAAAAACTTCCTTTTTCTGGTTTTTTCCTATAGCTTCGTTCGTTTTTCATTTATGTGTATATTTGGAATTAAATTTCATAATAAAATTTTTACCACAAAGTTTTCCACCTTTAGACAACACGGTATACATTGCAGTGATTTGCCCTATGTCAACATATTTTATAACACGTTTCCAATATAACACGGGTACATAATTTTTTGTTTATATCTAAGTTTAAATTATGTCATTCTATATTTAAATAAAACAATAAAAGAATTTCTTATAACACGGTTTCGATAAAAGACAGTGGAAATTAACCGTGTTAAGCGAGGGACGCCTATGTATGCTTCTCTGTTTATTTATTCAAGTACAAATACGATTGAATTATTATTTATTTTAGCAAATTTGTTTGCTTTGCATCCAGAATCGAAACTATCTGCACTCAAACGATTACTACTTGACTTTGAGTAAACGGTGGTGACCTAAGCGGCGGATCGAAACTTATCAGTTGAAATTCTTTTTAAGTTAGTGCGGTCGTATGTAACACACAAAAGGGCTTAAAATGCACCCATCTTTTGTTACACCGATCGATGTAGAATCATAATCAGAATTGATCTAAGACTCTCTGTCCGTTCGTCTATTTGATGTCTGTCCATGTATATTTTAGTTCAAGCAATTTTCGAGATATTTCGATGAAATTTGATCCAGTAACACCTTTTGACTCAAGGACGAACGCTATGGAAAACGGTTCAGATTGCTCCACTTTTTATAACGCCCTATTCAGAAAAGTCGTTATATGAAAGCAAATTGCAAATCTCAAAATTTCTCGACAAAGGTGGCTAAGTAGTACCATTTTGGCATTCTAAATTGGCTTGAAAACTTTAGATCGGCTGGGAAATTTTTTGAATCCCCTTATATAACGAAAACTAAAGTTCATACGGCGGAAAGGTGTAATTTTTAATTCTTCATTATGAAAATTATATCATAATAATAATTTAAGAAAAAAAATTTGCTGTACCAAATTTGGACAACCTCGGCCTATTTTTTGGATTCTACCCTAATAAGATGATCCTTTGTAGAGGAGAGAACTCAAAATTTTAATATGTGGTGATGAAAATTGACACATCATAGTAATTTCATACACAAAACCTAAGAATTATGTTAAAATATATGGTGTAGGGTATTTAAAGATCGGTCTTGCTTGACTATAATGTTCTTACTTGTTTTTTTCTTGAGTCGTATTATTTATTTATATTAATTTAAAAAAAAAAAAAATAATATATATATATATATATATATAAATATATAAATATGTATATACATACGTGTATATACGAATACATATAAATATTTGACAGTGTAATACACATTCATATTTTAACTATCAAATTATGTGAGTATTTCTTTGTCAAAGCACCTTTGTGTTGTATCATATATAGTTGTGCTTAAATGAAGTGTAGGAGACGTGCAGTAGTATTAGATCACTCGTTTATTGTACTGTACATATATATACTTTTATTTATTGTAATGTATAGTTTAGTATAATAAACTAGTGATCTAATAAGATTTTACGTCTCTTACAGTTCAGTTAGCGAATATAACTATATATGATACACCAGAAGGGTACTCTGGCAATGTCACTGAAAAGAAATACTCATATAACCTGAAATTTAAAATATGAATGTATATTACCCTCTCAAGTTGTTATATATATAATACATTATTTTGAGTGCTAGCTTCTAAAAACATATTGAATATGTATTTCGTAGAAAATACTTATACGTGTATGCAAAAGTAAAAGTTTATATTAATTCCTGTTGTGTTAAGTACTGTATTGCCTTTATAAATAAGGAGGTGTTGTGGCCTATGTGACATAGAACTCATCAAGTTTGTCAAGTGCGCATATCAATCTTACCTCATTCTGAAAATATTTCAAGTATAAGTTCGTTAAGCGTAGAATTCTGCTTATACTATAAATATATCTTAGCGGAAAGGATTTCCCAGAAGTTCGCAATTATGTTGAGATCGGGGCTAAGGGCTGGTCACTTCAGCAATGTTATATTGTGCGATTGAAAAAAATCTTTTATAAACCTTGCAATATGGATGGAAGCTTTGGTTTATTGAAATGTTCAATTATGACCACATAACTCTCGAGCGTAATCTATTAAATTGTTCTCTAACAAGTCAACATTTGCCACCACGGGTTAATTTTTGCTGAGTACTAAGGATATTTTTAACTTTCCTCGTGCTACAATGGCAGCTCATGCCATAACAGATGGGCTGCATTGCGCTTGCAGCACATTAGTCGAGGATGTCTTATATTCTTCCAATATTTACGGTGCCCATTAGCTCTATCCAAATTAAATTTTTTCTCATGACTATCGGATTCAAATTCTTCCTCTCAAAATTTGTATTTGCCGGCAAACACAATACAGGCATGTTTATGGTTCTATGTTAAGGGTGGCTTGGCAATTTTATTCTTATATTTAGGATCTATAGCGTTCTTAAAAAATTTGTGCAGACATTGTCTCGTTTTATTTAGGTCTTAATTTACTCTTTTTAGCCTGCAATTCATAATTTCATTAGTTGCTAAATGCCAAATACTTTCCCCTGTTCTCTGATCTATGGATGAAGTGCGCGTAATGTGACCATAACTACCGGAATCTTTTAGATAAGTGTGGACAGTATTGCCGCAGTTCCAATTTATCGCAACTGCTATCTTCCCAGTTTTCTTAGCAGCAAGTTGGATCCCTTCAAATTTTTTACCGCTCCTCAACCGAAAATTCATTTCCACGTAACATTGTTAACTAGCAGCAAAACTACGATCACAATAATTTATTTATATATTTATTTATTTGAATATGAAATTGAGCTAACTAAAAGCTTACACAAAAATTAAATTCGTTCTTAAAAATAAATCTTAACTAGTTATTACGAATAAACTCTTATAAAATATAGTAAAAAAAGGAACAAAACGTTATGGTCGGGCAAGGACAACGACTAGATACCCTGTAACACTTCGTCTAATGTAGTTCGGTAAGCATATTATTTTGTTTTTTAAAAGGAACAAAGAATTAGCTTTTTGCTCATTACTCCTAAACTATAGCGATGCTGTAACACTTGAACAAGGAAGAAATTGACCACTCATATCCAATATATAGTATAGAAATTCTTGGCGATTTTCAACTTTGGAAAGCATTTAAACATGTTCGTCTGCTCATCTGTCCATCTGTTTGTTGGCGCAACTTTGTAGAATTTGTGGTAATTATTCCCTCGTTAGCGAAAATAAAGATTTCATCTACGAATTTGCAAAGAAAATTTGGAAGTGACTTAAACTTTTCCATGAAAACGCCGACAACACCCACACAACTATGCGACAAAGATTTTTATTTTGAAAATAAGAAAAACCAGCCACACCCCCTCCACATTATAGAGGATGAAAATTTGGTCGTTTTAAATTTTTTTGTCTTTTCTAGGGTAAGGGTGATGGGTATAAAAAATACGGTCACGATCGAATATAATTTTCGTGTTTGTTTCTTTTAATTATGTCGTTTAAAATCTTTAAAGCATTAAAATCGTTTTCATTTGTGAAGTCTGCGAAATTTATATTACGTACATGCAAAAAGTTTATCGAATAGAATATGTCCTGATTTTAGAAGAGTGCAGGTTATAGTAGGAAGATTGCAAGAACAACATTAAACAAAGTAACAACATTATAGTCAGGCAATGTCTTACTCTTACATACGTTACACCATTTCACCTTTATTATAGCGATAAAGTGCCAAGAATTATCACTACTCGCCGTGTAAAAGCACAATTTTCATGGACGCCATTATATGGAAAAGGAATCAAGTCGTAAAGCGATTAGTTTTAAATTTAGCAAACTTAATGTTCTTGTCAAAGACATTATTAATATTATTATTCCTCCATTTTGCGTCATAAAGCACTAAAACGACGACTTCGGTGTCATGCAAAGGTTTACTTTTAAACACTTGGCGTCTACTTTTAAGCACGTGGTCCAAGCATGATACAGTTCATATCTATATCAAATTACTATCGTGCCCCAGCCTTTAAATGGAGCCTTTTATCATATAAAGACAATCTTTTCATAGAAACTGTTATAGGAGATAGAGTACAAAGAATAGATCTACATGATCTAAATTTGTCCAGTTTACTGTGATATCAAGTAACTAATTTGTACCAATTCTCACTGTGAAATATGGAAAATGAAATCGTCTTTCCATGTAAAGGCTGAGGAAAGATTATATATGAAAGGGATCGCAAAACATCGATCGATCCGATATAAATTTTTCACGTGAATACGATCTAATATAAATTTTTCCGAAATACGATTACCCAGGAGTATTTGTTGCAAAAATTTCAAAATTGATAGTTTTTTTTCATGTGTGTAAAAATGGGTCGAATACATTCCCAATAGGGTTCGCCAAGACACGTCAATGTAATAAATTTCAACTTAAAAATTGGCGACCTATAGGATGAACAAAAATACATTATGCGGACAAATGGGCGGACGTGCATAAATCGATTTAAAAAATTAATCTGAAACAACCGAGTCTATCTTAAGCCCTTTTTGTCATTACATACATTTGCACAAAATTCAATATACCATGTATCGCAAGCGATGTAGGACATAAAAAACGGTAAGAAAGTGTTTCCATGACACTTTTGTCATTACCATGGTAATTACTTTTTACCACACAATAAAGAAAACTTCTATTACATTTTCACTTTGTTTTGTCAGAGCATCAGCATCGTTAAACTAATTTGCGGTCGCATTAAAGAAACTTTTTTCAAAAATTGAATAAAAAATGCTACATCAGGGCATTATTTTACGTGAGGGGCAAGTGACAAAAACTATCTATAATTTGGTAAAACTGCTGAAACTGAATAACCCATTCACTCTCTGTACAATCGTTAAATGTTTTCAATGCATATTATATAGATTCGAGATAAACGTTACGAAGATGTTATTGAATGCATTGTCAATTTGGGAGAAGCAGCTAACACAAGAGCTGGTTTATCTACCTTGGCTTACTGTTACTATCATGCTCAAAAGTATGAAGAAGCTTCAACGTGTTATGAGCAATTGTGCACTTTAGTCCCGAAAGTTGCGAATTACAAGTAAGAAATATTATTCGAAGCAGTACATTATATATATATATATATACATACATGCAAAGTATTTGCCTTTTCGAAGATTTTACTACGCTCAGTCACTATACCAGGCCGGTATATTTGGTGATGCCTTAAAGGTTTTGAAACAAATCGCTGACAACGACGAGTTGAAAGAGCAATGTCTGCAACTGCAAAGTGCTATTCTGTATTCGAGTGAAGATTTTGCTGGGGCTCAAAGTGTCTTAAATCAACGTACCATAGGTACAGCTGATACGCTTAACGATGAAGGTTGTCTCTTGTATCAGGCCGATCAATACGATAGCGCAGTTCAGCGTTTCAATACTGCTCTGCAAGTGGGCGGTTTTAATCCCTTGATAGCCTATAATTTAGCTCTGTCTCATTTTCGTAAAAAGGAGAAAACCCAAGCGATCGACTATACGGGTAAGTGGTATTTTGAAACATGTGTCCTGAATGTCTTTTTACACGAGTTGAAGTTTTGAGAAAAACAAAATTAATGATTCGGTTAAGTTCTGTAGCGTATGCAATATTCTTGATTAGTTTATATTCCGTTCGAACTTAATCATGTCCGACAATTGTCTGCTACAGTTACGTGGTGTCTTGAAATATGTGCATCGTGAATCTCTTTTTACGCGAATTGAAGTTCAAAATTTCATGCGAGCTCATGCGAGTTTCATTCTGATTTTGATCGGTGGTTCAGTTAAAAGTGATGCCCATCCGATTCTTCGTACGTTTCTCTCTGCCAGCCGTCAAAGCTCTTCTAAAGTCTATGTATGGAATTTAGGTGGCGGCTATCTTACCGAAGTTCTATTTAATTTTCTTACTTATATCTCTTTAAATTAGTTCTTAGGTGGATGTTGTAATCGTAAGGAAATCGTGTAAAAAAGTTATTCATTTTCAATCTCAATTCGCATACATAAGATTGAAGTAAAATAAAATTAAAATCTATTAATTCTGCGTTTAGCTGATATTGTTGAGCGTGGCATACGAAATCATCCGGAATTGGGTATTGGTGCGCAAATCGATACAGACGGTAGTGCTCGTAGTGTCGGAAATCCCATAACCATGGCTCTATCCGGAATAACACAAGCTTTAAATTTAAAAGCTGCGATTGAATATTCCGAGAACAATGGTAACTTAACACCTCCCGCGAAAGGGTTGAAAGTTGAATAAAAATTTAATATTATACAGTGGAGGCAGCACGTGATGCTTTGCTTGACTTGCCGCCCAGAGCTGAAAGTGAATTGGATCCGGTTACATTACATAATATAGCTTTAACGGATCCCCAAGGGACTGTAGCTGGTCTTCGAAAATTAGCTTTTCTCTTGGAACTGGGCCCACCAGCGTGTCCTAGGGAAACTTTTGCTAATCTACTCCTAATATGCTGTAAGCATGAAATGTACGAAATGGCTGCCGATATCTTAGCTGAACATACAGCCTTGACTTATAAATATTTATCGCAAGTAATCAAAATGCTTTTTATACATTATCTTTATAGCTATATACCTATGTACTTTTTATTTTTGCAGTATCTTTATGAGTTATTGGATGCTTTAATAACAGCTCAGGCTTCTGCCGAATTGGCCGAGAAAAAATTAGGAGTATTAGCGTCGAGTTTAGCAGGAAAATTGCGCAGCTTGGCAGCCAAAGTTCAAGAAGTACGCAGTACTACCGATCAAAATGCTTTACGAAATGCTTTAAAAGATTATGAAAACGCTTTAGAATTGTAAATGATAATGATAATGATGATGAATGATTTGAAAAGAGGGAAAATTGTGAAATGTATTCTTTTTTTCCTTTTTTTAAATCTCAGATACTTACCTGTCGTTATGGCAAGAGCTTGGATTTCATGGCGAGATGATGATTTCGTGGGTGCCGAAAGGGAATTCCGCTCTAGCGCTGAGTTTTGTTCGGAAAATCCAATTTGGCGTTTAAATGCTGGTCATGTACTTTTCATGCAGGGCGATAAATACAAAGAGGCATCAGCTTTCTATGAACCCATTATTAGGCAGCATGGAGATGACGTAGGTTGAAAAAGCATATAACCCCATCTTAAAAGCATATAACCATTTAAATAATTCTATATTTCGACATAATAGATTATGTCAGTTTCGGCTGCGGTATTGGCGAATTTGTGTGTTTCTTACATCATGACTTTTCAGAATGAAGAAGCTGAGGAGTTAATGCGTCGCGTGGAGAAAGCCGAAGAGTTAAAGGGTAATATGGGTAAGCAATATCATCACTTGTGTATTGTAAATCTGGTAGTGGGCACACTTTACTGCGCTAAATCGAATTATGAATTCGGTTTATCACGCATCGCTCACGCTTTGGAAGGTGGTTCGGGAGCTCGTCTATATGCCGATACTTGGCTGCATGTGAAACGCTGCATCTTAAGTTTGCTCGCCGGCATGGCTAAGCAAAATGTCATCCTACCAAATCCAGCTATACAAGAAGTTATGAATTTTCTTAAATCATGCGAAGGTAATGGAGTATCTTTATTGAGGTTATGTTTATTAGATTTGCTTTTGTTTAGTCAATGGCCTTTTTACACCGGCTAATGTGTACAGTGCTTCGGAAGAAGCACCCGCTGAGCCTTTAACTATCGGTCTAGAAGCAAGAACATTGCGATTGCTTCTTATCAAATTAAGCGAATATGAAAACGAATGAAAACAATTTTAAGAAATGTATGAAATTTCATTTTTTTCATTTTTTTTTATTTATTTATTAATAAACTTTTGCATACATGGGATTCAATTACTATTCTCTACATTTATATATAACTGTTTATGTACGCATATAAAAAAAATAAAAATAAAAAAAAAAGTATATGATTCCCTTTTTGGATATTGTAAGTAAGTGAATATGTGATCAGATGGCCAATATTTTGTATTAGAAATTTTCTTAAATAGCCACACCCAATTATTTTGTTTCAATTGTGCCCATATACTAAAAGTATATTTGGCACATGATGTTTCTTTTTACGTCATTTTTATTTAAATATAAATTTGAGCTTAATAATCGTCTAATACGGCACTACTGGACATTTCAGAAACACCACAAGTATTATCGCCGCGATATACGCGATAGTAACCTTGCTCACCCCATTTTTTGCCCCACGAATTCTTGACAATCCAATACGGTAAGGTTTTCTTAAACATTGGATAATCTGATACTCCGTAGCCCACGATTAGCACGCCATGATCCAGATTTTTACTCGAGCACAAAATGTGCCAAGGATGTGAAACGCCTCCACGATAAAATTGCATAGCGTTCGCATTAATACCTAAAATCAGAAACTCGATAATTGTTATTGTTAAATAAAACTTAATTAATTTACCAATCGATATCGGTCCATTGGCTATTAACCACTGAGCTATAGCAGTTTCGTTTTTAGGCAAATCGACATGACCTTTCACTTTAACGTGGATCTTGGTGCTATTAAAATGGCATTGATCTTTCCGAGCATGATAAGGATAATCGGATTCCAACTCTAAGCCACCAATTTTTTCAATTGCTCTGATAAACAAAAAAAAAAAAAAAATAAAAGTACGCAGTTAGACGGATATCAAAGCTATTTTCTTACTCGAAAGCATTATCTGGTAGACCGCCATTGCATGCCGAATCCGAAGTATCACAGTCCAATAATTCTTGTTCAGAGTATTGCTCCAAGACACCAGTTCTGACAGCATGCAAACCCTCAATATTACCGGTAACACTAAAAGCCCAACATGAACCGCAATTGCCTTGATTTTTAACCTAAATATATTTTCGATTTTTAGTATTGTTGTTAATTAAGTATTAATTAATTATTAATTATTACGTATTGTGATATTAAAATAATTACTAATTGCAATATTAGAACAAGTAAGAAGATTATGTACGATCGTCACTGAGTCCTTTTATACCCATTTACCCTACAAAAGACTAGAAGAAAAAAACTCAATTTCCATAGTCTAAGATAAGCTCTACAATGTACTTCTGGGTGTTGCATTCACCAGCACAGACGTCGGACGTACGGACACACTCAATTAAATCAATGCAGAATCATTTTCTGAATATATCTATAATAAAATGTGCTTCTGAGTGCTGCACTCGTCCGTACAGACAGAGGACTGACGGACAGACTCGCTTAGCTCAACACGGAATCATTTTCTGAATATATTTATAATAAAATGTGCTTCTGGATGCTGAACTCAAACGTACAGGCGTACTGACTTGCCTAAATCCATACAGACTCATTTTCTGAATATATTTATGATAAAGTATGCTCCTGAATGGTGCACTAATCCACACAGACGGAGGACAAATAGACAGACTTGCTTAACAGAATCATTCTGTGAATCCATTTATAATAAGATGTGGTTCTGGGTGCTGAACTCATCAGCACAAATTTAACATACCCTATACTACAAATGATGTAGAGTATAAGAGAGCATCGAGAAAAAAATTAGGCCTCTAAGACACTATAATATTGGGTATGCATGCTCAGATTTTCCGAATTTTGTTGGGTGTATATTTTTGGAGATTTATCTGCTATAGTATGCAAGTAATGAGTGAAAGTCAATCTACGTAGTAATTCCTTCAGGGTATTTGGCCCGTTTTCAATATCAAGCTGCGTGGAGGAACTGCCAATGTTTCTGACAAATTCGATTCAGAACTTGATGCTGATCAACAATGTATATATACTTTGAGGGGTCTCTGACGTTTCCTTCAGAATGATGCAAACGTTTTGACGAAGTGAATCTACCTCTCATTCTTCGGTGATGGGTGATGGGAATACATAAGCACAGACAGATATAGACACACACACAAAGAACATACCGGTGAAATTACACCCTTTTCTCTCCAATCAAACTCTTTGGGTAAATCGATGTTTGGAATTTCGGCTTTAGGATTAGAGGCGGCTTTTTGCGGATCTCTTTGCCATAAGCCGGTGCGTTGTTTATATTCCGGACTGGTCATGTCCGCAAATTCAGTTATGCCGTATTTAGCGCTCCCTTTAAAAATATTAAATGAAATTCAATTTCATGTTCACATCCTATTAATGTTACCCCGGTAACGTTACCTTGTTCATTACGGTTCAGTTCCTCAATGAGCTGCAGGTTTTGTTTAAATATACGAAAACGCATTTGTTTCTCCATAGTGGTGTGATAGTTGCGTTTAAATTTAATTTGAAATTTTGCGAATAAATGCTCGACTTTATTTAAATTGTGATGATTCGATTTTTTATGAGTTTTCTTTTCAGCGTATTCCAACGCTGAGCGACTGTGACGCTGCTTTATCAGCTCTTTGTCGGGACAATTTATTGTAACTTCTGTACCGTCACTTAACCATGGCCGTGACCATATTTCTACATCGCAGCGTTCCTCTTTGCCATCGGCATCAACCAGATCGCAATTGATTTTTGTAAGGCTACCAGCGACGACTTGTGTGGTTGCAGTATAAATTTTTGAAAGTCTGTTTTTTTTTTTTTTTTTTTTAATAAAAATTAAATAAGTTACATAAAGTTGTATGCTGCTATTCATTTGAATTAAATACCTATATGTTGGTCCATCACCAGTTGCCAATTTTTCGAGCGAGTTATTTAAGCGTTTTTCAGCTTCTTCATGACTTAGTTCCGAAACTCCACCAGGCAAGCCGCCAGGAGAACGTCTGCTTCTCACTAATGGCCCATTTACGTTCTCCTAAACGATAAGCAGAGATTCATAATTAGTTTATATATATGCATATATATACATATATGGAGAAATATAAAACTCATGATTTTATACTTAATTAGATGACATTCTTTTGAAAATTAATTTATTAAAACCGTGACTTACTACAAAAGAGACAGCAATAATACAAAACAAAACAAAAAAAAAAAAAAAAAAAAAAAAAAAAAAAATTTAAATGAAACACATCATTAAAATTTTAATCAAATAGCGAGATGTTGAGAGGTTTGTTGCAAACAAGCATACGGTTCACTTTCTGTTTATACACACACACACACACACACACACACACACAAACATTTGCCAACGGTTAAAAAGCATTATCGTCTATCATCCAGCAATATGCACAGAAACGTAGACATATTTACATTCATATGCATTCATATATACATACATTCATATATACATATATATACATACATGCCTTGCAATGTCGAGTTTAATTAAAGTGATCACAGGATATCATGTAAAGTAAGCAATAATCAATTCTGTGTCGACGTCGGATATTATTGTGCAAAACGCAAACGAAGGAAAGTAAAGGAATCTCGAATAGCATGTATATGTACTTGGAAGTGATAGATTTTAATGTATTTACTAAGCCAAGGAAGCATACATCGAGTAAACAAGTTAGAGCAGCCAACAATTGTTCGTTATAAAAGTATATATAAATGTGGCCATAAGTGAGACAAGAACATAATGTAACGTAACATTCTTTACCTATCTTTTATGAGAGGCGTATAACAAGGAAATGTTTTAAAAAGTCTATCGAAAATGAAATTCCTTTAAACGAATATGTGATTTGTACAAGACAAAAAAAAAAACAACGGGTAACGCCTAAGGTCACAGGTTTTCAACCTTCATGACACTAAGTCTTATGAAGAAACACAACAAATATTTTTCGGTACCTCATCTTTACACAACTTGGGATGAGGAATATACTAAGCTCGTGCGTAATTATGCAACACTTGCAGTCACCTGAAAGAGACTTCCATTTCATCAATAGAATCAAATATATTTCAGAGATATTTTGATGAAATTTATCATACTTAACCTATTTGGGATTTGATTTAAAAACAATTTTATTGCAGTTAAACACAATTTTATCCTACTTAAGAGGCAAATTTTCTTCTTTTTTTTTTTTTTTTTTTTTTGGGTTACGATGAGATGAAATTATTGTTAGAAAACTCCTTCCGCAATGTTCTTTCAAAATAAATAGGTGTCTTATGGTAAGAAACTCTGATTTTTAATATTTTATGTTAACAGCTGATCCAAAACAGTGGCAGTAAAATCCCCAACTTATGTCACATATATCTATCTAGTTTTCGAATATCTGCCCGTGCAAAGATTCTCAGATGAAGTGTAAGATTGTATTTAACACTAAGAGGTATAGGTTTTTTCCGTCGGGTCACTTTTTGTGTACCTTCTTATGTAAGGCTAAGTAAAGTTTTGTATGGAAGAGATATATAATTTTTGGTATTTGATGACGAAATTAGGTGAAGATTTCTATTAAATGAGGTAGTTTAGGGTATTTAATAGTCGCCTTTAACCATAACTGTAACGTTTTACCTTGTTTCTAAAATAGGTCGTCGTAGAATGTAGAAAGAATACATATAAGGAATATGATGTTTTTTTTTTAAAGTTAATTTGTGTTCGTTCTTTTAGGCGAGAAATTTTAATCGGATAGAAAACTGAGTAATTTTAACTTTTTCTAATGTAAACTACACGTTCGCCTGCGTTAACACTTACTGCGGATGTTTCAGCGCACGTTTGCCAACATTTGATTTTTTAACTGACTCTAACAAATATTTCTGTTAAATTTAAGATCACTATCTACCAAAAATAATAAATTTTTCTCGGTTTTTAAGTCAACTTTCACCTACGGTTGATAAAAGATCTATACAATATATAGTGCTTAGAAATGGTCATCAGATGATCTGTGAGGTATGTCGTACAAGTCGTTTAGTGCGAATTGATTTAGTCGCCGTGATTTGCAAAACGATATTCTATATCGTTTATATATGTTAAGTTTGAAAACTTATCAAATCCATAGGTAGTTCCAGATTTCTATCTTTTCCTTTCCTGTAACAGCAAGCTTTCTGATAGCTAATTGACCGATGGACAGGTGGGCATAGGCATATGTATATTTGCTATCATATTCTGACCAAATTTCTATATACTTTATTGCATATTTTAGCCTAATTTTTGGGGTGCCGCAAATGGTGAAAGAGATCTAGTATGTCCTCAATTTTATAACAACATATTAGTTAAATGAAAACTTTTGAAAAATTACTTATGCATTTACGCTTTTTAAAAAATTATATTCGTTCAAGTTTCCATAGTTATCTACACGCTAAGATAGACATTTGGCAGGATGAAAATGTTCGATTTTTTTATCGTTATTATATCGTATATTATATAAAACATATCATATAAAATATTTCATGCGTCTTATATCATATATTATATATCATGTATCATATCAAATATATCATATAGCAGACGCCATATATTCTAGAAAATGTGTCATATATTATATATTATGTATCATATAGGATTAAGCAATTACGTAAATAAATAAATAAATATATCATATAAAACATAACATATATAACATGTTATATATCATAAATTATATAAAATATATCATTATAAATCATATATCATATCAAACATATTACGCATCATATATTATATATCATATGTCTAATAAAATATATCATATGTTATATACCATACATCATGTACCATACGTCATATACCATGTAAAAAATGTCATATATCATATATTATATATCATATACCCAATGTATCATATATTTTCGCTAAATATAAACATGACACTGATAACATCGGCGATGTGCTATATACTTGCCGTTATCAACAGCAAAATTGAATGGTTTCCAGTGCGGATGATCAGCCGCGACTTACCGCTGCTTGTAAACAGCGAAGACTTATACAGTACAAACATCAATATCAAAGTAACTTGTACCTGAAATTTCCGAAGAAATGAACAAGACAGATAGATGTTACAAAGCATCCAATTCCAACATAAAGAGCGTACTGAACTTGAGATTTATATTTTGGAGAAGGCATCTTTTAAAAGTTTGTCTTAAGTTTTTAATTTTTTGTGACTTTTAAAAAATTTCCTGAATTGTAATAGGCGTAGTGGTATAGGATGTTTTACGGGCGGCCTTGCTGTACTAGAATGTTTTAATTTATTTTTGTTGTTGTAGGTTGTGAACGCTTCAGTTGGTTCATTGGTTTGAAACTTTACATATTTAGTGAAGTTTAAACAATTGTTGAAAGTATTTGTGATAAATTAATAAAAAATACAATTTTATAATTTTCAATATTTTCCAAGTTCTTTCATTGTTTAAACTATCATAATGAAATTACTTCCATTTTGACCTGTGGTCGTCTCCCTTCTCTTGGAAACGGTAGCAGCTCCCTACGCACAATTTTGTGATTCTTAGACATATGAAGGGCAGCAGACTCCTTCGTATGTTGTCATACCTGGATTCAATTCTTAGTACGGTAGACCCTAGCATAATTACGATTAGTGTGCGGTGGTAGCATTCAGATTGAGGGTTCAGTGGTTAAGGGTCGTAATACTACCAATCGAATATGTAAACCTTTGCCTACTTTTTTCTAACTATAACCGTAATGTACCCTGAGGGAGCACTAATTAGTTGAATTATGCAGATAAACGAAACGCTACATAGAGAGTAGGGTCCTTTGTGTGTGGCTCATATTCTTTGCTGCACTGATGAATAAGACAAGCCTTAGATGCTTACTTCGTCTCGATAAAGTAATTAATGCGAAATTTTGTGCATATGGTTGTGTTCGCTGTCAACTCTCTAAAGCTATACGCTCGCACTGACTTTCTGTGATTGATCTAAAGCCGTAACTTACTTAACTTACATGAGATATTTTTTTCGCTATCTTATCAGAAGTAAATCTTTTTAATGACACAGTATTCACTTGGATGAGAATAATTCCGGCATCTCAACGGCCAATAAGATATTTAGTAATGGAAATGCGTTTTACTTTTTCCAATAACCGAACAGTATTTCTCTTTTTCTTCAGAGGGAAGCTTTAACATAGCAAAAGATACCATTTGGTTTTAGTCAACCTCAATAGGCATAAGCGTACAAATCGTTCCATACCGTTATATTACGAGTTAACATTGTTAGTAGATAACATTTCTACCCCGACTACGTATAGTCGCATATTTGTATCGCATATAGGTATGTATAGTTTTGGTGATGATAAGTTTAAGAAGCATTGACATGGAAAAATATTGTATTTGTCGGTTTGTATAGACGTATATATACATATTTATATTTACACATTTACACCCTTACATATGCATACGCATTGTATCGCAAAAATATCTCATTGCAAGCAATAAAAGATAATGGCTTTTATGTTTCTATCATCACAAACGTTGGCATCGGATTTGGTATGTGTGTGCTATAGTTTCTTTCCTTCTTTTCTCTTTACATTCCTTCACTTGGTATTTTGCTTTTCTCGTATACATGTAAACCTATATATATATATATATATATATACACTATTTGTGATACAAATTGTTATACAATTGATGTGGGCCAAGAGCGGTTTCCGTCGACCGAAAACAGATGCAAATTGTCATAAATAACAAACATGCACACATACACCATATATTCGTACATATGCATGCAAAATTCTCATCAGGATAAATTAAAAATCATCGTTGCGTTTGCGTTGCGTTGAGCTTTTGTTTATATGTATGTAAAGGCATTTGTAAAGCATGTTGATAATCTGCAAGGATTACATTACACATGATTGAATTGAAGAAGAAAATTGGTTTAAAATAATTATATAAATTGTTACAGTTCAATTAAGGGAAATAAACCGCACAATAATTTACACAATCGATTCAGAGAAAGTACGCAATTAATTGGTAATAATTACGAAGTGATTTTTAT